TTGACGGAGAATTCACGGATTCTCAAATTATTGTTATGCTGGGTGAGAATGGAACAGGGAAGACAACGTTTATCCGTATGCTGGTATTCATTCCTTTGATTTCTTTCTTTTTAAAATTAAGTCATAATCACTTTGCAGCTTGAGACATTGAGTTAGCATACACTTGTCCAATTTGCAGGCTGGTCTATTGAAACCTGATATTGTAGAAGATTCCAATGTGGAGATACCTGAATTCAATGTTTCTTACAAACCCCAGAAAATCAGTCCAAAATTTCAATCCACTGTCAGACACTTGTTACATTCAAAAATTCGTGATTCATATACCCATCCCCAGTTCATGTCAGATGTGATGAAGCCTCTTCTTATTGAACAATTGATGGATCAAGAAGTTGTGAATCTCTCTGGTGGAGAGCTGCAAAGGGTTGCATTATGCCTATGCCTCGGGAAGGTAAGTGCTTGGTTGAGCTTTTTCATGTGTCTCGGTTATGAATTTCAGAAGCCTGAAATTTTCAAGAAACATTATTTTTTGATTTCCTGTTGTAGAAATCAGTAGTGTTGGCTTTTCCTTATTTTCAGCCTTGCAAGTATAGTAGGAAGGGAGATGTTGGGTTCTTGATGTGAATTAATAAAATGGGCCTTTGTTTCTTGGGATGGATCCCTTTCAACACTTTACGGTACCCACCCCTTGTATTTGATGCCTTGGATGCATCTGAGTAGGCTGGAATTGACTGTGTTTGGAAGTTGGGAATGGGGTAAGGGTGTTCTCTTTTCTTTTTTCTCTAACGTAAGTATTGGGGGATTGCCATTGTCCCCGACTAAAAGCAAGTATCTGCCATTTCGTTTGAGTTTTTCAGTCCTCGAACAATATCATGACTGCATGTTTGAGTTTTTCCATGCATCTGTTTTGATCCCTGCATTTGGTTTTCGTTTTTCTTTTTTATCATTTGATGCAGGAAGGCGATTACTTGTAGTTTTGTGTTGTTCTAACTGGTGAAAGTGCAAGAATATTCGAGAACTATAAGGGAGTGGGAGTGGACGAGTTATGGGATAGAGTGAAGTTTTGGGCTGCTTTCTGGGCATCAACTTCCCTCGCTTTTAAGGATATACCTTCTTAATGCAGCCTGCAGATATCTATCTTATAGATGAACCCAGTGCCTATCTTGATTCTGAGCAGCGTATTGTTGCTTCAAAAGTCATAAAGAGGTTTATCCTACATGCTAAGAAAACTGCATTTGTGGTTGAACATGACTTTATTATGGCTACCTACTTGGCAGATAGAGTTATTGTCTATGAGGGGAAGCCATCAATTGATTGTGTTGCAAATTCTCCACAGTCATTATTGACTGGGATGAATCTCTTCTTATCTGTAAGTGTTGCAACTTCTTCTTCTTTTCAGTCAATTATTTTGACATCCTACTATGAAGAGGGAGAGTAGCGTGTGATAATAGGAATATAATTTTGAAATTGGTCATTCTTTGTGCATAATCACAACTTCCTCCTGCTAACTGGTGTTATTTGTACCTCCACTCTGAAAATGAGTCTTAAAAGGGATAAGCTGTTAGAAACCTAAATAGCATGTTATTGGAACTGCTCTCTCTCCACAAGTAATTTTCATTGATTTTTGGAATGCTGCATGCAGCATCTTGATATCACATTTCGACGTGACCCCACTAACTACCGCCCAAGAATCAACAAATTGGAGTCAACGAAGGATAGAGAACAAAAAGCTGCTGGATCCTATTATTACTTGGATGATTGATATAACCACGAAGGTATGCTTCATTCGTTACTCTGTTTATTCCATGTTTGTTTTGGCATCTTTGATATTTACTGGTGTTCTACTTTGCAGTTTTGGCCAAATTTAGAGGGCTTCAATATGATCTAATAATGGAATCCCGGCTGAGTCATGACATGCTGACAAATGATGGGAGGTCCTTTGTCTGTGAAGAGGTGATGTTTGTTTACCAGTGAGTTTCCGTGAATGAGAGTTTCCAGGCCCTTCCGTATTGTTGCTAGCTGAGTACATGATGCCCTATGTGTGCTTGCACCTATCCCAATTTTGTTAAAATTTGTCTCTGGGCGACGGAATCTAAATGTACAATGGTCTCTCATAGTATCAATTTTTCTTACTTTTTGATTGACTTTTGTGCTTCCGGGGTTTATGTAACTTTTGTCTCTGCCATTATGATTTTTAGTTTTCACACCAGAAATGCATGGGTGTTTTAACTCTGAATTAAAAGAAGGTTGCTTCATATGTGCACATGAGGGGTTTGATTGATTGGCAGGATTTGATGAACCACCTTTTCTAACTGCACACAGGAGGTACCACTCTCCTGCCATGTTTGTCTGGTGAAGTGCCAAACGAAAAATCTGAAAAGATGTGGATAATAGATATTTTATTGTCTTGTCTGGTGTATGATTGAATTGGATTATGATTATATGGTTATACTTACGGTCCTTTGGATTAGATATTTTACCACATGAATTATGATGATGCAAACTCGTTATATTAGATTACGGTCCTTTGTTTGTACCCGAGTCCCGACTTGGGAGATTTTTATTTGTACCAACCGACCAAGTGTGTTGATTTCCCTATTTTAAGTTTTGTTTGTATTTTTTTTTATTTTATAAAAGTAATCTCCTAATTTCTTAAATCCCCTAGTAATCTTTTTAAATTCTTGATTTGAAATGGTCTGGTCTGGTCAGGTCAAAAAAATTCCTTCATATCGGAGAAGTGTTGTGTGAGTCCATCTAAAAGAGCCATGATCGCACTCTCTCCTTGTAAAAGAGGCGTTGACAGAGCCGATAAGCATTTTCTTTGTAATAATCAGAACTCTTGTCTTGTCCTCCAATTAATCTCTTGTAGTCTGGATATGCGATATGCAACAACTATGAAGATGGAGGAGGAGGAGGAGAGAGGGCTTCATCAACCATGCCCAACTTTCTGTCCTTGAATAACAAATACCTCAATTATGTGTTTTTTTTTTATAGGGGAGAGGGTTTACACAAACATTCTTGGATGCTTGGGGGGTTTTAAACTTCTGCCCACAGAACTTGAGACCAAAGAGTTAAACCAACTGAGCTCTATACCTATTGGCGAACGCTAGCAATATTCTCTCTTCATTTTGTTTTTCTGCTGAACGCCAGCAATATTAATGTGCTCTTAGTTTGAAAGAAGAAGTGAACAATGTACGTACTCATAGGCAGCTCCAACGATACTGGTACTTTTAATAATGTGTTAGTTGTTTAATGTTTGTCGAGTTAGAGAGAGTTCGATTCCAATTTCCATACCATGATGGATTAATTGGATGATGCAGATGCAGATGCAGCCCTGACCTGAGTGAGTTGGAACTTGAGAACCGACATGGAGATGAGACACCGCTTCCTTCCGCTGCTTATATATATTTTCCATGCGCGTGTGTGGGGAGCTAGATCAGCTTTTAAACTGGACTTTGCCTGCACCATGCATCCGTCTTGTGTACAATTAAGTTAAGAATTTCCCATAAACAAAGGAAATTATATTTAAAGAAAGTATAAATGATGAAAGCAATGTTGTATTTAGGGGGGATATAGTGAATCACAAACTGAGGGTTTGCAATGTGAATATGACTTAGAGATGAATGTTTGCCTGCACCATGCATCCGTCTTGTGTACAATTAAGTTAAGAATTTCCCATAAACAAAGGAAATTATATTTAAAGAAAGTGTAAATGATGAAAGCAATGTTGTATTTAGGGGGGATATAGTGAATCACAAACTGAGGGTTTGCAATGTGAATATGACTTATGATTGATGAGACTTAGAGATGAATCAATCCTTCCATGTGGTAGATAGATATATGCAAATTGCAATGCATGTGAGAACTGATAATCCATATAATATATAGATAGGAATCTTAATTGGTAAAGTAGGCAAGAGTAGAGGACGAGCTGCATGCGACAGGAATGAAATGAATCAGCTTGTATTGATGATATTGACTAGTCTAGTGACACAGAGTTCTTTCTTTCTAAGGCCAGTAAGCTGGCAGGCACACACAGATCTAGATTCTAGAGACAGAGCAGCCAGCCCACTTTGCATTGCAATTTTCATGGTGTTTCAATGAATCAAATAATTTAGATAATACAAGGATTATTGTTAATTTCAGGGTCCCTCTCCCTCATATTCATATATTCATTCATGATTCATGTTACATGTATGCATGACAGTGGGAGACATTGAAGGTGGAATAAAAATTGGATACTTCCTATTCTTTCTCCGCTTGTCTCTTTGGCTTATGCACTTTTCCTTTTTCTCCCTTTTGGATTCCATTCCATCATCATTTTGCACACATATTAACGGAAATATTCACCGCAGCTTTAGGGACAATATTTCCACTGCCCCTCTATCATGAATCATGAATCATGATTCATGCACTGCTTAAAGAGGTAATTGGCTTGCTTCCCCAATTTTCTACTCCTGCAGTAGAAATTCTTGACATGTTTCTTCTTCCTTTTTCTTTTTCTTTCAACTTTCAATTGCAAGACTTTCTGACTTTTCAGTGCAAAAGGAACTTGTTCACCGAAGAAAGAGAATAAACAAAGGCCCAAGAAAGCACAAGAGAATAGCTCCAATAACACACGCATCAGCAGCATACAATACAAGCACATATCATCTCCACAACCACGACAAGCCGTCTAACCAAATCGCACTCGCACACAACATGTTACATGTTATTTTATCCTTCCCCTGCATCTTGTGGGCCACCCCACTCACATCACACATCACACACCACTCAATCAACCGTTCAATCCATGTGTACCTGCTCTGTGATTCAACCCAGTCAAACAAAAGGTCAACCCTCTTCTATATATGCCTCAAATCAAACTTGTACATAAGACAAACACAGTAGCTAGGCTAACCCCAAACAAAATAGAAAAATATTAATTTATTACCAAAAAAAGCAATAAAATAATGAAGTAGACCCACCACACTAGACGACCTCCCGCTTTGCCTTTGCTTATTTATTATTAGTTATTTACCCCCATCTCGGATCCATCTCTCTCCATTACACAAACAAAACCATCTCTCAAACTTGAAATATTTACTTATTTTTATGAAAAGAGCAGCAGAGAGCTTCTTCTTCAATTCTATTATATCTCTGCTTTAGTTTCTGTTGGTGATCTGCTTTTTTATGGCTCTGCTTACTTTTGTACCTGAGGCCACGGAGCCCAAGAACAAGAAGAAAGCACCACCGTCAAAACGCAGGCAAAAGCAGTCGTCGAGCTCTAAAAAGCAACAAAACCCACCATCCTCATCCTCATCCTCATGGGACCAGATCAAGAACCTGCTCACCTGTAAACAGATCGAAGGGTCAAGAGTTCATGACCCATCAAAGAATCATAACATCGTCAATGGTGGTGCAGGCGCAGCTGCTGCCGGGTACTCGAAGCTGGGGTCTTCTTGCAGCTCCATTTGCAGCTTCAGAGATGTCGTTCATGGCAACACCAGGGTCGTTCACAGAGCCGACAACTCGCCTGAGAGTAGCTCGCTGGGTCAGGAAACTGGGTTACTGGGTCGGAAACATGTGACTCGGTCTTCCTCCTCTAGATCCAACGCTACTGGGACTAGTGCTGCTTATAATACTACGTCCGCCTCCTCCTCCTCCAGAGGAATGCAATTCAGGAAGCTCTCTGGCTGTTATGAGTGCCACATGATCGTTGACCCTAGCAGGTATACATTTTTAATTTAATTTATCTCCAACATATAATATGCTCGTTACATTTCAGGTACCCAATTTATATATCTAGAAATTAATATGGAGAAGTAAATTTATAAATGTTCAGGTACCCAATTCCGAGGTCTAGTGTTTGTGTTTGCTCTCAGTGCGGAGAGATCTTCCCCAAGATGGATAGTTTGGAACATCACCAAGCAATTCGCCATGCTGGTAACTACTGTATACTATACATGCTAATTAATATATATGCTATGCTACCTCTTAATAATAATCTTTTATTATTCATTTCATGATGCTGAATTTTCTTTATATTTCTTTTACTGTTTCATCATTACCAGACATTTTTGTTAATAGCTAAGGGCCCATATAGTTTTTATTTTTTATTTTTTATTTTTTTGCGCTATAGGGCAGAGGAAAAAGATGGAGAATGAAAGTGAAAATGAGAGAGAAGATGCAAGGAAACGATGGGAGGGAGGAGTAATAAAAGTGAAAACAAAAACTAAAAACTGAAATCTATTTGAAATTGTTTTCACTTTTGTTACTCCTTCCTCTCATGATCTCATGATCTCATCCCTTCTCTCAATCTCTTTCTCACTCTCATTTTCATCCATACTCTGACATAAAAAATAAAATAATTATCAAACGACTCTAAAAAGTTGTCAGTAGAGTTTATAGCTTAAAATCTTTTAATTATAGGTTTGAACTTAGCTGCAACAATTTAGAAATAAAAATAATTGAAAGATTTGTAAATTTACCGTAACGATTGATTGCACCTCATAAAGGCAGTCAACTTCATGAGTACAAACCTACAGCTGTCCATGCAGAACCGAATAAATGATACTCTGATATGTAAGGTGGCCTGTCTTAATTCGAGAAGAAAGACTGCCCCACTTTTCTGACGTTAAAACTCAACCATCCTGACCCTACTTATATTTTCATTAGTTGGGTTGGGTCTTTTACAAATTCTATAAATTAGTTTTAATTAAACAAAGATTCCATTATAATTTATAAGAAAATAAAAATAGATTAAAAAGTAATAATATCTTAATTTTGTATTCGCGCAGTATCGGAGCTGGGAGTTGAAGATTCCGGCCGAAACATTGTGGAGATAATCTTCAAATCAAGCTGGCAGAAGAAAGACATTCCCATCTGCAAGATCGAACGGATACTAAAGGTTCACAACACGCAGCGCACGATCCAACGCTTCGAGGACTGCCGGGATGCCGTGAAGAACCGTGCGCTGGGCACCACACGAAAGAACCCCAGGTGCGCAGCGGACGGGAACGAGCTGTTGCGGTTCCACTGCACCAGCATCTCGTGCACGCTCGGCGCACGTGGCTCTTCCAGCTTGTGCGGCTCCGTACCGGGCTGCGGAGTGTGCACGATCATCAGGCATGGCTTCCAAGGCAAAGCCGGAGGGGAAGGGGGCAAGGGAGTGCGGACCACTGCCAGCAGCGGTAGGGCCCACGACTCCTTGAGCTGTACGGAAGGGCGCAGGGCCATGCTGGTGTGCCGTGTAATTGCTGGCAGGGTCAGGCGCATTGCGGACGATGCGCCGACGGAGGAGGATGCGTTGTCGTCCTTGTCGGCTCCTGGCTCCTACGATTCTGTAGCCGGATTCGCCGGAATATATTCAAATCTCGAGGAGCTGGTGGTTCATAATCCGAGGGCCATCCTCCCATGCTTCGTAGTCATTTACAAGGCTCTAGAGTCGTGATTAACGTCGTCGTTTTTAAACCCTATTTGGCGTTCCTCTTCATTATCTTAATGTGATCAAAGGTCAACTGTACTGACTTGTCTATTTTTCTGGCTGATTTATGTGTTGGTGTATATAGATGATATTCTCTATCATTTTCACATGGTAATGCTAGTAAGGCCTACTTTTTTTGTTTCTTCTATGTTTGTTTAATGGGTTTAGTTCAACTGCTCAACTGCAAGTGTGTTTCTTAAATTAATATTAAACTGTTTTATCATTGGGCAAGCTATAATTTAATTAAAAATGAGTGTCCGGAAGCTGTCTGTCTGTCTTCTTTTTAATCTTCTTTCAGACAAGTGATGAAAACAATGAACAATATATATATATATATATATATATCAATCCAGTAGAAGTAGAGTAAGAGACAAAGCAGTTGCAAGTTTTAATAAGAGGTAGGCATTGATCTGTCATCTTCAATGGACGCCTTTCACTGTCTAAACTTATAACTCTTTATTTCATAATTCATGGTGGGTCTCCTTAAGTCATGTTTTCTTGAGAGGTCATATTCAAGCATATGAAAGCCAGTACCACAAGCCCCACAACCAAACCTATATATCTAGCTGCAGATCAGAGGCATGCGTACGTAGAGAGATTTCCTCTTTCATACAATTTGTTTGTCATTTTTCTTGATAATAATTCAGCAGCTAGAAAGTGAAACAATAAACTAGTTACAATTTGTTAGGCGGTTATCTATCTCTATAAGCAAAGATTTGTGCCCCCACTAAGCCAAGATTAACAGGGGCCACGTGAGGTAATCTCCGAATTACTGCAAGTACATTATGATGACCTTAGACCCCAAAGAAAAGAAAAGAAAAACTCACCAAGTTGACAGATGATAATTGCGTGCACATGCGTCATTGTTTCTACAGTTAGAATACTGTGAAAAAAAAACCCTAACAGCTTAATTTATTGCATCAGGGATTCAGCATAGTGATCGATTATCGCACTAGTTATGGAAGATAGTATATATAAGTAGAGAAGAAAAGGAAAAAGCAGCTATAGGTTTTCCAAAAATCATGTTTAATATGTAATCCCCGTTGAGATTACTGACAATCTTGCACGTAAAAACATGCTAATAGAAGCGTACTGAAGGTCAGCCAGTGGCCCATGCTCTAGTGTAAAATTCTAATTAAGGCTCCTGCTAGCTTTGACAGCGCAACTAATCTTACTTAAACTTACTATACTAATACATATATCTTATTACTAAATTGATAAATTAAATTAAACAGTAGCTAGTTAGGCTAGCAAAGCATGCATTGACAAACGGCAGTCTCCCAAATTACCAATCGACGTCGCTCTGCACTTCTACTTATATTTAGTTTAACGTAACTTTCGAATTATGGACAAGACACACACACCCCCCAACTGGTTATTTGTCTTTTATACTAGCCAGCCATTATACTCCATCGATGTACGACCAAAAAACATTCATTCATGAAGTCCACGTGAGATGTAAGTAGGTTTCCTTTCTCAATGTGAGCCCATTGATTGGGGCCGAACCTGTCAAGTCATTAACTTCTTCCGTGCCACATGGACTGGATCGCATAATTAATTTTGGTCCTTTGGTCAGGCCCAAAGGCCATTCCCTTTTTATAAGACATTCAGCAAGTTTGGGTTGGAAAACATCAATTGTCCAAAAATACGATTTAATTGACATTGAAAGAAGCGAACAGGAGGAACACATGCATGCTACGTAGTTTTGACGGTGACGTTAACATCAGAATCATATTGCAAAAAATTAAAAAATTTACGGTACATGATTGTTAAAATTAAGAGTGCATGGACAAATATGTCTTAAGAGTGAGAATTCAGAGTACTAATTGAAATTAACCTTAAAAATAAAATAGAGATTCAGAAATTCCATCAATCCATCAGGGGTTGAAGGTATTATTATGAGTCCCAGAAGAAGAAAAAAAATGAAGAAAAAGGTTCTGTTCATGAACGAGTTATCACAGAATATGATGATTTGGTTACAAGGTATGGATGAACATCCAATAAAGAAGAAAAAAAGGAGAATCACATCATAAGCAATTAAGCTGGTCAATAAAGAAATGAATTATTTATGACCAGGCTGGGCCCAAAAAAGAAGAAAACATTTCCATCTTTCAATTTATTTTCTTTAACAATGAAGAGCACAATTATGACAATGAATTTGGAAACTGATTTTTGTTAAACATGGGATGACTTCACCTAGTCTAGTCTAGTCTGGTTAATAAGTTGTTGAGACAGGTGCTTACCTCATGATTAATACATTTTCTTTACTTTAAGGAAGAAAGTACCAAGACACAATTATGATGTCCTATTAGAACATGCCTGACTGACCCTCCACTTTTGATATTAATATAAATAAATAATTAAGATCGTCTAAATCTCTTCACAAGCTCATCCTCTTTTCCTAGTACCCATTTTTTGTTTTACCATAAACAAATGACTTGGCTTCTTTCAAGTTTTTCCAGGACCATTTTGTGTTGCTACTGTCGAGATGCGATGTTATAAATTTAACGGGCCAGAGTGAGTTACATTATATTAATTTCTAGAGAAATACTTGAGTTGATGATAGGGTATGTATGGACCACCTCGATATAAACTTGAGTTATATATATATATATATATATATATATATATATTGATTCGCATCTTCGGTTTTGGTTGTGTTGAATTGACTAATGCAAAGGGCAATCATTAGGTTAAGCTTTCCTCGGCCAAGCAGGGTACCTAAGGCTGCCAGAAAAATGAATGGTAATTTTTGGCATTTCTCTGACTAATGACCAATCTCCATCTCCATGGGTCAAATAATCATTTAGAGGGTTTCTCATAATTTCACATTAGCTAGCTCTATCTAGACTCTAGACTCTAGAGGCTTTGGATATAAGTTAAGTACAACCAAACCAATTAAGCATCCACTTAACTTAATTACTCCTACGTACCATCATATCATATATAATTGGACCTTTAATCCAACTCCAAAATTAACTTCACAATTACTCACGTAATTACTACCCTAATACTTTGTGTTAAACCCAATTAATGACTTTTGCAAAGAATTATGAACAAGTTAGATATGGAAAATGTTCTTCAACTAACTAAGAAAGCCTTTTTTTTTTTGGTGAGGACAAGTGAAGGCCATGCAAATGATTTGAGCACATGGACAAATGCCAACATCCTTGAGAGTTTTAATTAGTCTCCCAAATAGAATAAAAGTCATGCCCTGGAAAATCACACCCTTCCCCCATTTTAAATTTATAAGATAGACGACACACACACACCCATGATAGCATTCCATTTCCCGGAGAGGAAGAAACAGAGAATACAATGCAGCCAAGAGAGAGAGACCACAGCTCCTCCTTTATTATACAAGTAGGTGATCATCAACAATTCCATCACCACCACCAATTTGATCCTCATCATCATCATCAACCTCCCAAATTGAACTTGTCTGCCATGAAACTCTTCAACCGCTTCCGGAAGATAATAATGAGACTCTTATTTTCTATCCCATCTCGATCAGCTGCCGCGTCTTCTTCATCTTCCTCAGGAGCTACGAGCAGCACCCCCAGGCAAAGGAACAGCACCAGCTGTGACAGGTTCTTTGAGCCCCCAAAGACTTCATGCAGTTCCTATTATTCATCTCATTCGCATTATAACGAGGCCATCGCTGACTGCATCGAGTTCTTTAATAAGTCCTCCTCGTCTACCCAAGAGGACATGTTGGATATTGATCCACAATCCAGCGTTATGGTTTGAACTTCGATATAAATGTTTCTTTTCGCATGCACATCACACTTCACATGCTCATGTACTTATGTAACTTATGTTTTTGCCTCACTGTCTTTTTTCTTATTAATTCGCGATCTTGTTTTGGTTTCAACTTCAAGCACATTAAGCATGTACTTGGTGCAACTATGCATTCCCTGTTGGTCTCGATCCTCCTGTTCAAACTATTTCATCTGTTTTGCTGTTGCTGTCTCTTACATTATGCGTTATTTATCATGTACATACATTGTTGAGAAAATTAAAACATCCTTCGATATGACTATTTATTTATTTGTGAATGCATGCATTTATTCTGTTTGAATGAATTATTTACTTATTTTTCTCTGAAGCTGGGTCGAATTTTGAAAAGCAAATTAACTTGAATATCGTCACTCTCTTTCTTATCGCAATTAACTTTTTATGAGGCCTTATATTTGTTGTCAGTGTCAGTGTCAGTGTCAATGTCACTGGGTTGTTGCATTTGTTGTCGAATGATGTTGGACTATATTTAAATGGCCCATTATTATTAATACGCATTGCATTAAGGCCCAAAGTAAAACATCTACACTCAATTACATTAATAAAAGAAAAAGAAATTCCCCAATTTAAAAAGAAAAAACGGGAACAAGAACAACGGCTTAAGCCACACTAATTTATTGGGTACTTCCATTGAAAGACTCTCTTCTTCAAGTGTTACAATTTCTTATTATCCCGAGCAAACTAATTTACTGGCAAGACTTGCATACATATATAAAATAGAAGTGAAACATACAAAATACAATTACACAAAGGGTAGGGGAAAAAAGAGTTGGAATGCAAGCGGCAGTATTATTGGATTGTAACCAAGATGAAGATGTATGTATGTGTGATGTAGAAATGCAGCCGGGCTGATGATAAGTCATCAAGGATCAAGGATAGGCTACTTGTGGGCCTCCTTTCTTCTTAGAAAACATCCCAGCTATTAGAGGAATGAAAGGCTTGTTTTTCTTCTTCTTGAGAGAAAGAGAAGGGTGTCTTTGCAGTTTTTCATCAACACCTAAACCTTGTGCAATCTTTACTTGCGCAAGGGAAGGTGGATTTGCAAATGTCACATATCTTTTGTTTTGAAACTCAAAACTTCCTTCTTCCTCATCAGATGTATGTGTTTTTATTTCAAACTTGGTTGAGTCTGAGTCTTCAACTATATTCCTAACGTCTTCGATGATCTCCGCTTCTACAAACTGTTTCTCATATTCCCTTTCCTTCAACTGATGGAGCTCTCGCTTTGTCCGTTCAAGCTCCTGTTTTAGAGATGAAAGGCAATTTTCCATGAGCTCGCTTTCTTCTCTGGCTTTTTGGAGGCTTTGTTTTGTCTCTTCTAGCTCCGCTGTCACGCTTCCAATTCTGGATGCAGGGCCATGCCGATGCCCATTTTCATGTGCTCCATTCTGCATCTTTCAAGAATACAAGAAAATCAATTATTCTGGATGCTTGCTTCCTTGCTTGTGACCCCTCCTCTCCTCTCCTCTCCTCTCCTCTCCTCCCAACAAAGCCAAAATTAACATTTCTTTCTTTTTCTATAGCATCTCTTCATTTGAAAGCCAAGAAGATTAGCTCTAGATTCCCTCCCTAATAAAGCTGACCATTAAGGAATTAAGCCTAGTGATGATTTAACATTCTTTATTTTAAATATGTAACAGCATAACCACAGCTCAGTCACATAAATAGGGGCAACTTAATTTGTACTCAGCCACAAGCAAAGCATATATGAGAAGATCAAACTACATTTTCCCAACCCAAGTAGTAATTAAGTAAGTAAGTAGTGATTCAGGTAATTATGAATATGATGATGATGAGTACCTGTTTGAGCTGGGTGGCATAGAGCTCCCCTGCAAGAAACTTTTCACCGAACAATGAAACAGCTTCTTTGACCGATCGGAATGGTTGCCTTGTATCAATCTCCGCCCTCTTCATCCTCCTCACACCTTGCACTCCTGCTGCTGCTGCTGCTGCTGCTTCATTATTATTCTCCATCTTCCTTAATAAAACTTTCACAAATATTATACTGCTTGCTAGCTACTACTAGAATCAATCAAAGGCCCCAACCAGAATGTCCAATTTATTTACTCTTGCAAAAAGAGAGAGAGAGAGAGCGGTTATAGATGGGGCGGGGGGGACAGGGGGGAGCTTCGTTTCTTCGCGTCCACTTCACTAGAATTCTGTTAATATTGTGAATGTGATTGTGAAAGTGAAAGGAAGGCGGTGGGTGGCAGCAGTTGGTCACTTCTCTTCTATTTTATTTGGTTTCGTCTCGTGGACTGGGGCAAAAGAGAGGGACTCTTCGCCAATATCCAACACCAACCAATTCCAATTACAATTTTTCATAATGTTGGGTCTTCTTCTGCACTCTTGCTTTTGGTCAAATCCAACCCAGACTCAAATCCAGCCCACAAACTGGCCTCAAACTTGGGCTGGACCGAAACTCACAAAATCGGGCTATAATGCACATGACCCGTGGGCCTACCAACTACACATCTATCCATGTAGAGAGAGAGAGAGAGAGAGAGAGAGAGAGGGGTAGAATAGGATGGCCACAACTTAAAAAGTTGATGAAAGTCTCAGAATTTCGAAACCAGAATCATTAAAAGGGATTAAGGATAAGAATTATCCACCTTCATCAATCATTATCACATTAACAACAAAATAACATCTTAACAACCTAGCCCAGCCCTGAACCCAGCTTAATTTACCATCGTATTTTAAAACGAATGGAAATACAACAACATGTTGCAATCAATTCGAGCTATAACAACACCAAAAGCACAGATCTTCGCTCTTGTGTCCCATCTACAAACCCGCATCGGATTGTCCGCCCAATCCCAACCTTTGTCCAAACACTCAGCTTTGTACGCAATCAAAAAACAATAAAAAAGCAAAAATACCAAAACAACGGGAAGGTAACGATGACTAATGAACGGGCGCATAAAAAAATGATGAGTTTAATTCCAGTTAGCTTGTTAACTGTCTGTCATGTCAGCTACCCAAAACCACGTCGTCTTGCTTTCTTTCTTAGCATTTTCGACTTTTTATTATAAAATTACAGAACCTAAACAAAAAACCACAGTTGGGAACCTTGCCAGTTGGTTGCCATCGACAGAAATAAAGACCAACAATAGTACCGCTATGCTCCCTCTCTGTGTCTTGTTCACTATTTTCCCTCTTCTTTCTTTTTCATAGATCTTGCCTTACTACAACATGTCAGTTGCTGCCACGTCCCCAGCCGTTGGATCTTTCTACCTCAGGCGCCGATCACCTAGTACGGCCATGTCCATGCCTCGCTTTAGGATGGCCGTCCGATCTGCTGCCGTTTCTGTCACTCCGCTGTTGACCAAGCTACACAACGACTCTGCCACTCCTTTGCCCCTCCTGCGCCACGTGGCAGACGCCATGGCCGCCGACATGCGAGCCGGGCTTGCCGTGGAAGGTGGGAGTGACCTCAAGATGATACTCAGCTATGTTGACAGCCTCCCAAGCGGGTACTATTCAAACTTCATACGACGCCGTCACAATTATACCTTGACTGTTTGCTTGTTTTTTTTTTATATATATTTCTTTTCTAAAATTCATGGCTAGTAAATTCCATTTTCTACTAGTTTTGTTTTGATGTCATGGTTGTGAGTTGTGAAAGGTGTTTACTTTGCTATGCAAGGAAACAGAGTATTTTGTTCTGTCTCTCAATGATCATGAGTTTAGTGTTTGACGTAATTTCAATATGTTTTGGAATTGGAAGGAATGAGGAGGGGTTGTTTTATGCACTGGATCTTGGAGGCACAAACTTCAGGGTGCTGAGGGTACAACTAGGCGGCAAACAAGAGCGCGTCATTGCCACCGAATTCGACCAAGTTTCCATTCCTAAAGAGCTTATGTTTGGCACCTCAGAGGTCTGCTTGTTTTATCACTAACTATAATGTGCTACAATAATATTAAATGTTAGTTTGTCATATTTTATATTTAGGATAATGCACACATGAGTTCAAACCAGTTTTGGTTGTTCACACTGCAGCAACTGTTTGATTTCATTGCTGCTGGGCTGGCAAAATTTGCACAAAAAGAGGGTAATAAATTCCACCTTCCAACTGGTACAAAAAGGGAGATTGGATTCACATTTTCATTTCCTGTGAAGCAGACCTCCATTGACTCTGGCATACTAATTAAGTGGACAAAGGGTTTTTCTGTTTCTGGAACGGTTCGTACTTTCCTTTTCTGCATTTCTGTTTTCATTTTCCTAGAGCTCTTCATTGGATTGGTTTCTGCTTTTTGGGTTTATGTTAATGGCTTTAAACCTTTTCCTCTATCATTTTCTGATCATAGCGTCTTAACACTCATAACAACTTGCCAACTTGGCAGGCATAATCATACTAAGATATTGAAACTTTTACAGGCGGGGAAAGATGTGGTTGCTTGTTTGAATGAGGCTATGGAAAGGCAGGGACTTGATATGCGGGTGTCTGCCCTGGTATGCTCATCTGATGCTAGCATCCTTTTTCAAAAGATTTAATGAATTAGCTACCAATCTGACATAAATCCATGCGTACTAGGTTAATGATACGGTTGGAACATTAGCTGGAGCAAGATATTGGGATGATGATGTCATGGTTGCTGTTATTTTGGGTACTGGAACCAATGCTTGCTATGTTGAACGGGCAGATGCTATCCCGAAACTACAGGGTCAGGTCTCTTCTTCTGGCAAAACGGTGTGTGAGAGAGGCCCCAAACTCATTTCTCTCTTCTTTATGGACATAGCTTAATTTTATTTCTCAATTTGCCCAAAATTACCTTTGGCTCAGATTATTAACACTGAGTGGGGAGCATTCTCAGATGGTCTTCCTTTGACTGAATTTGATAGAGAAATGGATGCTGCTAGTATCAATCCCGGTGAGCAGGTAAACTTTATATTATATATATTTTTAGTAACTCAGTATCATAACTTTTCTTTAGCATGCTGGTAACAACTAACAAAAAGACTACATAGTTATTACCTGTTCCTCATATTAAATATGCAGATCTTTGAGAAAACAATTTCTGGAATGTATCTGGGTGAAATTGTACGAAGAGTGTTAGTGAAGATGGCTGAAGCAGATGCTTTGTTTGGTGAATCTGTCCCAGAAAAACTATCAACACCTTTTGTACTCAGGTGAGATAAACTTCCATTGTTTGCTGATTCTGGTAACACTAAGAGTTGAGAATTAGAATTAGCTTGAAATCAAGTTCCTTTTAATGCTGAAGTGTGTTTGGAATTGATTTTTATAGGACCCCAGATATATGTGCTATGCAGCAAGATATATCTGATGACCTTCAAGATGTTGGATCAATCCTATACAATGTAGCAGGGGTAAACTTCTGATGTTTGTTCTAAATTGTTCATAAATACCATCTTGATGCATGCCTAAGCAAGTATTGTGTACAATTTAAAGCTAGTTTCAGTTTTCAATGTCTTTTCCTAATCAATATTTTCTCATTTCCCCAATGCTGGGATCAGGTTGAGTCAAATCTAAGTGCAAGAAAGATTGTGGTGGATGTATGTGACACCATCGTAAAGCGAGGTGGGCGCTTAGCTGGTGCAGGAATAGTAGGGATACTTCAAAAGATGGAGGAGGATTCAAAAGATCTCATCTTTGGCAAGAGGACAGTGGTGGCAATGGATGGAGGGTTGTATGAAAACTATCCTCAATACAGAAGATATTTGCAAGAGGCTGTGACAGAGCTTCTTGGGACAGAGATTTCGAAGAATGTGGTCATAGAACATTCGAAAGATGGGTCTGGCATAGGGGCTGCTCTCTTGGCTGCTGCAAATTCCCAGTATACATAATGAGTATGGCTCGTAGGGCAGGACAGCACTCTTGCTGCCAACAAGGTAATATAGAATTAGCCCCTGGTTAAAAAGGGTTGTAATTAATTTGCAATTTGGTTGAACTTGGCATTGTTTTGGCGAATAAGAAAGTGAGTGAACAAGACATTGATGAATTTAGGATTCGATTCAGAATTGTAATTCAGAAGTAGATTGTACAACTTTGAGATCATAATGCACCATCCATCTGTATGGTGCAATTTTTGTGATTCAGTCCATCTGTACGAAATATTATGAAGTACTTTGTAGCTCATATGTAAATATTACTACTCACTAAACTTTAGTTTAAAATGCTTAATTTGGAACCATCCACAAGCTCAATGGTTTTTAACCGTCTGCTGTCTGTCTTGCTGGTTCAAGCATAATTTCCAAACGCTGTTAAAATGAACATGACAGGGTCAAGAAGTTTCCAACATTCTGGAAACTCAGTCCAGCCATCTTTGATTGAATGTCAATTTATGCTTCTATTTCATCTCCTAATTTAGCAACGAACAAAGCTAACCATATGTTGTCAATTTAATAAAACTGTTTATATCACATTATTAAAAAAATTATAGAGATAATTGCAACCCAAACTGGCTACATGACTTAAATTATGAAATTGAAATAATATGGCCCAAAACTGAAAAATGAATCAAAACTATTAAAATTTGCATGTGGCAAAATTGCTAAACGCTTGCAACTGTTGTCGTATCCATGTGTGAAGAGTTCAAATTAGCCGTTGGATATTTCCGTTGACCAATCCGTCAACGGGGACAAGTCTCCTTCACCAAGCACACCGTTTTTGTCTACATCACTAATAACACGCTAGTAAAACTAGCTGGCTCTCCCTCTCTCCTCTTTCTCTTGGGCTTACCCGCGCCGCGACCCACTGGAACTGCGAAACGACATCGCAAAGTACCCCGAAAAAAAACTCGTACTTTTCGTGCCGAAGTTTTGGGTGTCTGCTGTCGTTAGTTTCACTTTGAATTTTGCTTCAACAATGGTACTCACATAATTATCAGTTTTCATTTTGATTGATTAGTATTTGATTATTTCAATATCTGAGCATGATCTTAAATCTTCCATTTGGCAGATCCGATTCATATTGTTACAGAACCGGCAGGGAAAGACCCGTTTAGCTAAGTACTACGTTCCTCTCGAGGATTCTGAGAAGCACAAGGTCGAATACGAGGTCTGATCCACATAATTCCGCTTTTTATTTTCTTTGTAATTTTTTATTATTTTATTTTGCGCGTAAACTATTCAAGGGTTTTTGAATTCGATGGTTCTGCAGGTTCATCGTTTGGTGGTCAACAGAGATCCCAAGTTCACAAATTTCGTTGAGGTTATATTTTCTTATTTATTTGTTTACATGTTTTATTGCGCCAAAATCTTAAATTTACAGAACTTGTAAGTGGTATTGGTTTTTTATTGGTAATATTTGATTGTGAGCTGATTATTGTAACATTGGTTGCAGTTCCGTACGCACAAGGTGATCTACAGGAGATATGCGGGGTTGTTTTTCTCACTGTGTGTTGATATAACAGATAATGAATTGGCCTATTTAGAATGCATTCATCTATTCGTGGAGATTTTGGATCATTTTTTCAGCAACGTTTGCGAGCTTGATTTGGTCTTTAACTTTCACAAGGTCCGTTTGCTTTTCTCACTTTTCTTTCATGTACTACCCGAACCCCTCTTATATGATTATTGCATTCATGTTTAGTTACTGAGTTAGGGTAGCATTCAACCCACACTAAATCATTTGCTGTACTTACCTTCGATAGTGGTGGCCATTTATTGGGATCATGTAGTGAAAAGAGTGGGAGAAGAGAGTCTATATGTATGGCAGAATGAAGCAGAGGAATGGTATTGAAAGCCGTTGATTTTGTCCAATTTAAACCAAAAAGATAAAGAATGGTTTTTGAATGTTAATCTAATTTCTTTGAATGCATGCTAGCATTCTTCTGTGTTCTCCTTGTACATTATACCATACTTAGAATTTCTTGTTGTCAGTTAGTGTTAGGCTTTAACAAAGTCATTCTGCCTGGTACATGCCAGTACTTCAGATCAGCCTCTCCGAAAAGTAAAATGAAAAGCATATATAAATGTGTATCTTTATGACAATGTTTGTTGTAAATACTAAGTACCTTGGTGTTGTCAGTTCATTAATTTCTTATCCACTCCCTTGGTATGTGTATGGTGTAGCTGTGTGGGGGGTTATGATCATTGTAATATATTTTTTGTTTGTTATCTTACTGATTACTTATTTTCATTTCCATTTATGGAAGGTCTATCTGATACTTGATGAATTCATTCTTGCTGGAGAGCTCCAAGAAACAAGCAAGAAGGTGAGAACTATGGTTTCCGTTGTAGCTTTTCCTCTGTTGTTGCTGCTTTTTGCGTGTCTTTGTTGTTTTGGATGGGACAAGCAAGAGAGACCTTGGTTTTTTGTTTTCCATTTTCGCCTGGGTGACCCTCTCCCTAAAGTGAATTTATCCTACTTTTTATCTTATTTCTGATTTATCTTTAATCATGTGTCTGGATTGTATGAAACAAAGTCTATGTGCCTTTTCATGGTGTCACATATAAATGGTGAAGTTGTAGTATATGGATGGACTATGGGTAACCTTGTCTATTCTTCTTGTTCTTTCCCCATTTGACACTGGGAAACCAAATCTTCCCTCTTGTTATAAACAATTTGGGTGGGCCGCTCTTTTCATTTCACAGTTACTAGCTTGCTTTAGTGCTTGTAGTGTTTGGTCCTATGTTATGTAATCATTGATTTCTTTTATGGTCTGCATTTGGTGCGAGGAAATCTAGTTTCATGACCCTTTTTGTGTGTTGTGCTTGCAGGCGATTATAGAGAGAATGGGGGAACTGGAAAAACTGGAGTGAGAATTCATCTGCGGTGACAAGTTTCAAGGATGCAATATGGTTCTGTGTTTCTGCTGATTGTTTCAGTTAATTCTTGTAGCCCACCATATTCCTTGTGTGAATTCCTCTCGTGTAATAAAAGTTAATTGAACTAGAAGATTTTGTACCCCCGGCTTTTCCTCATTTTGCCATTTGTGTTTGAAATACACATTCGTATAATGAAAGGCGTGCACATGAACAAAGTTGTCTGTTCTGTTTTGGTTGAGGAGTAATATCATGTCATGTCAAAAAACAAAGCAGGACTGGAGAAGATTGTACAATGCAAAGATCTTATACTCGGTTGCCGCCCAATATTGAAAGAGGATTAAAAACAAAGTATGCTTCGGATAACTTGACCTCAAAGCAAGTGGGCCATTATGGAAAATCAAAATCCTTGTAAAGAGACCAAATAGCACCAAAAATACGAAAATATTCAGAGTTAAGTGAGATGTAGCCAAATACCAAACTGTACCGAATTTGGGCGTACCACCAAATCTTTCAATTGATAATTGATTGTTGGTTTTGTTTCGATTCGGTACATCTCTGCCGACTATGGTCCAAAAGTCCAAGCCATTTTTTAGACGCAAGCTTTGTTCACACTCCCACTTACTAAAAAAGTAGAAAACTATTACATTCTTTTTTTCTTCAGTTGCCGATGAGAAGAATGGTAGGCAACTTAGCATTAGGATAAGTGCTGTGTTAGATCCATCCCAGTGTACACCAGAAGACAAATTGAAAAAGAAGATAAAAGGCTTCAATCAGAAACCAAAAAGAGAAAATGGAAAAGCGTCTCATCTTCATTTTTTATTCTGTTTTCATCTGCGAACCTTGAAAGGGCACAGCGTTTACTCACTTTTTCATTGAATAAATGCCTACTATAACCCCCACTTAAAGAGTTTGATAGTTTTAATTGAATAAATGTTGGATCTAATTCTTTACCCTTTTTTTTTCTTTTCTTTTTGCTTTCCTCCTCATCCTTATACTATTTACTGAAAAGCGAGTGAAGTTTCAAAAGGACCATGTATATACAGAATGAGTACTTGTAGGGCAGAGGGAGTAGAAAATTAACATTTCTATTATCTTCTTTGTAAAAGATGAACGATGTACTTGAAATATGTCTGAAAAGATTACTACGAAACCTAATGTGGCCCAATACTCCAGGGCATTTTTCATACAAATCAAAAGCCCCAACTGATCAAGTTATGGCAGTTATACCTTAAACCATGTTCATCTCTTATTGAGTCACGACGACAAAGTGAAGCAGCAAGTCCCATTTCTGAGCAGAAGAAAGAATGAAATAATGTATGAACCAGCTACTTTCCAATAGAACTTATTAAAGGCGCTCGCTGCAGAGTAACTGCAGTGGCAGTGCACTTCCAGCACGGAATCCACCCCCAGACTCCTCATACACAGAAGGTAGATGGTGGTCTTGTCGTTTTACCCCACCAGGAGGAAAAGATGAAGTAACAGCCATTAGCTGCTGCTGCTGTTGTTGAGACAGTGGTGCATACTTAGGACCAACTAGGTCAAGCGTTGAAGGGGAAGGAGACATAACGGCTTGGCCGCATGGAATCAGCATAGTCTCCTGCCTTCCATTTTGCCAGCTTGGAAAGTGAACTGCAGGTGCCGTAGTTCCCACTGGCCTGTACTGAGCCACCAAGTGAGCTGCCCAAAGCCTTTGCTGCTGCTGCTGCTGTTGAAGCTGTAAATGTTGCTGTTGAGGTTGCTGCTTTGTCAAAGCTGTGGGACTTGCTTGAGGACCACAGAATGGGTTGCCATGATATGGAGGTAGCTGCAGCTGGGCCTACAATTTAGTGTTATTTCATAATTTTAGTACTTAGCATTCAATGTTTACGACCAACATTATTATTATAATAATAAAAGCTCCTTTGTTAGAGTTTGAGGTGTTCAGGAATGCCAAAGCCACATAAGGAAGCTTGCAACACTATTGGTAAATCACCCATAATAACTTTCCTAGCTCTCTATCGATTCAGAAATGGCACTCTCAACCAACCGTTGGATGTACTGGATTGAATCCTGGTTCTATCAAATGGATCAAAGATTCACAGCATAATTGAATATAAAAAAAAAAAAAAAAAAAAGATAACTGAAGGAGAACTGAAAAACCTGCTGGGCCGCTGAAGGATTGTTAGGGCAGGAAGAAGAGCTGAAGTGAGACTGGGGCAAAGAGAAAGGAATGAGCGTTTGATGCTGCATGAGAGAATGGATATAAGGAACTTGGGATTGTGATGATGGCTCCATTCCGTTTCTAGCTCTACTAAAGCTATCATTAGTTTCCAAACCACCACCTCCAGCTGACAATGACAGGAAATCAAAACTCTGCAAAAAATGAAAAACCAGTTAGAAATTTTTCAGCGATAAACCAATAGCAAACACAATATTAAGCTTTACCTGCTTTGGTGAAGGGTATGCCCGAGATCCCATAGCAGACTGTGGCTGGTCTTGATAGAGCTTCTTCTGCTCAAGAATACCGTTCTTAGCTTCATTTGGCCTTTTTTCAGCCCTAGAAATATCTATGCTACTAGCAGAAACAATCCCATTTTTAACTTTAGTATAAATATTAGCTCCAAGAAGAGCCACTTGTTTGGATCCTTCATGTAGTCTCATTTCATTAGGCTGTAACTTATCTTTGCTCTCGGAGTTTTGTAAAGCCTGAATCAAATGACTTATGTAGACATGAGCTGCGCACTTCTTCCACGTCCTTCTACCATTTAGAACATTAGTAACCTGTATAGTTGATAGTCCACCATTCCCTCAATCAGAAGCTTCACATGGTATAGACATTTGTGAAGAAAATGGCAGCACATATCAAGATGTTAAAAATGCTGATTATCATAGAATGACACCGTTAGCAAATTAATAGTCCTCTTCACCTTTCCAAAAGAAGAAACATTTTGAACTGAGGCTCTGGAAGTAGACAAGGCGGCATCCAGCCAGGCCGGAATTTTAGCAGCAGGGGACCTATAGAATAGCTACAAACAGTGAGGAATGGGAAAAATACAGAGGAATATCCAAAAACTTATCTAGAAAAGTCTAAAATTATAAGAAAATAAGATAATTACTGCGACGATGATGATGGACTATCATTCCTAGCACCATGGGAGACATTTGAAGACAAGCCAGGCCACAATACTGGACCTTTCAATCAAAGAACCAAAGATCATGTCATCTTCAAGAAATTGACATGCAATGTTATATGAGAACACAGCGTTTCACAACGAAAGTGAAGTTCCAACCAATATTGAATAAGTCTTCTGAGCAAGCATGAATTATACCATTTTTCTTGGACTCCTGGACCATATTATGCACTTCAACTTGACTCCCCATGGTTTTGCCCTGAAGAGTAATCCAAATCTTAAAATAAAAGCTAGCTCACAAAATAGATATTTGACTTAAGACTGAGTTAATGCATACCAGCTCCAGTGCAGCTTCTGGTTTTCTCCCAAAAATTGAGGACTCCTTTTGCACAGGCTGCTTTAACCTGCTGGAAGATTAAAAAAAATGATAATGGTTAAAAAAGAAACACATGTACACACAACACACTGAAATAGAAAATAAAAATACAAAAGCTGGAATTAAGTTAAAGAATTACCCACCGACTATCAAGGCTTAGATCAGATGGAACAGAAAATTTGACAACATTGGCAGTAGGCTTTTCATTGCACTCTTCAACCATCGCTGAGACTGACGAAATGTTTAGATCATGAGGGACTGAATCATCTGAGTTTGTACAGAATTTCCTACTGTTTGGTAATTCAGGTTCACTTTGAGTACTGGATTTGTTCAAAGAATCAACTTGATCAGTTTCTTTAGCTAATCTTTCTACACTAGATGGACTGGAGGCCTCGGTAGCTTTCAAGGGGCAAATTGAACCCAATTTATCATTTCCAACTGCAGAATCCAATACCACCACATAAATTAACAGTCTGCCTACCACAATGGCAGAATTATGAAAAAGAAGATTTGCGAGCAGAGAATAATGGATCAAACCTTCAAATGCAGGGGTCGGAGTCTCTTTGAACTCTGGCAAAGCTGAAGGATTTGCATCTAAAGATTCAGTGTCTAATTTACTGTTATCATTTGCATCATTGTTAGGGAACAGTCCGGCCAAAGCATACAATGTCTCCACAACTTCTTCCTCATCTTTTGTGATATCCCCAGAAACAGTTTCTCTCAGGGATCTATCTGAGCCTCCTTGTTTCTTCATAAGTAATTTCAAGTATATGTATCAAAGTTCTGAACAGAAAAGGCAAACCTAAAGAGGATGTTGAAATAGAAGATAGAGATGACTACCAAGTATGGTTTGGGTTTATTTACACCGTCCCTTTTTGGGGATTCGATGCCACTCATTGTATGGTTCAGCCTCTTTGAATTTGGTATAAATGGAGATGCAGATTCACGATTGCGCTTCTTCATTGCTGCTAGTGTAACAACAATTTCAAAAAGCCCGAGATATTCATACAATAGAATATAACAAGATTTTTTTTATAAAAAAAAAAAAATTCCCCAAAATCCAAATGCGTCAGAATCATTGAAAGCTATTAAAGTATCTCTTTTGGAAAAGTAAACTACAGAACAGTAGGAGGCAAAACCTCAGAGCCAATATAATAAATAAAATCAAAAGGCAACAATGCATCCTCAAAGTGGCAGCATCATATTTAAATTGAATTAAAAGTCAGGAAAAAAACTGACGGAACCTTGCGTCCCGAAAAAGAAAGAAAAAGCGAAAGCTTCAGTTTTGCTTCACTTCTAATCCAGAATTAAAACAAAGTAAAACAACCTCGAAAACTTCCCAGAAGACCCACCAAACAAAGGAAATTTCAATTCCAATTAAGTAAATAAAAATAAAGTAACCCAAAAATGGAAAATTTAGACATGAGCATTGAATTTAAAAAAAAAGATTTCCGTTCATAATTCAAAACCCACAAACCTGATCGCAGCTTCCGCGGAACAGAGGCATGATCAACGCCATTGCAGTCATCAAAAAACTAGAAACAAATATCAAAAACAAAAAAAATGTTGAAAAACGAAACAGGGAAGATACATAAATTAACATGACCCGGTGTGGTCGAAGATTGGGTAAAGAGTAACCAACCTTTTTGGGAAGCTTAAATCTCTTACTGGGAAGCTCATCTTCTCTGTCAGACACATCACAACCCATTTCGCAGTCTTGGAAGCTCGAACTCGCTGTACCAAGAGCACTCAATTTTCTGAGCCGCTCTTTCTTCGATTTTGCCGACTGCACAAAGTCCCCACCAGCATCAGCACCAACCCCAGCCAAACCTTGAAATTCAGAAGCACATATAAGCAACTACTCTAAAGAAATAGTGGTGATAATTATAAAGGAGGACACGCATTATCTGCAACTGCAACTGCAAGGCCCTTATCAGAAACCAAACAAGAGTACACAGATAACGACAAGTACCATAAGCGTTTTTGTTTCTCTGGTGAGAAAATTCCAAAAATTGGAAAACGGTGAAATATTCTGGATTACAAAATTGGAAAAAGTAAAAGATGAAGCGTGAGATTAAGATTTACAAGAGAAGAGCTTGTGTCCAGAAGGTTGTTTAAAGCGAGTGGCTCCACGTCTCACGTCTCGAGGCTTGTCCATTTGTAAATGATCGATGGTGTTGCCAACATCTGGAACTTTGTAAATGAAGAAGGGCTTGTTAGGCGGCTCAGAATGGAGCTCAAGAAAGAAACGCCTCCAAAAGCTGAACCCAAACAGATCCTTCTTTTTGCAATCTGAGCTACTAGCAAGCTCTCTTCAATCACACAGAATGAGAAAGAAAGAGAATGAGGCAAAGGTGCTGAACAAAGTGAACGAGAACAACGTGTAGAGAGAGAGAGAGAGTTTTCTTCTCTCTTGTTTTTTTTGGTTTTGGTTTTTGGGGTGTAGTTATTTAGCGAAACGAAAAGGTCGCCGGAAAGAAAACCGAAAAAGTTGGTTTGGGTTTTTTTTTCCCAAAGAAAGGAGAAAATCAATTTAGTCGCTTGCGTTGCCAAATATCTCTCCGTTTTTCTTGAGACGAGTGTGACAGTTTAGAGCGAGCTCTCTACCTACCCGGGCTATAGTAGCAGATCGAACGAATAAGCAAAACAGAGGAGATTCAGAAACTCACAGAGAGAGAAGACGAAGAAGAAGAAGACAAAAGCAAAAGCGATCAAAGGCAAAATAAAGATGAAATAATGAAAGCAATAAAAAGTAATTCGGTCCCTCGTGTCCAGAGAATCAGGTTCTTCGACCTCCCTCAGTCTGTGTCTGTCTGAGAGAGAGAGAGAGAGAGAGAGAGAGAGAGAGAGAGAGAGAGATAAAAAAAAAACAATTGAAAAGAAATGCAAATGAAAAATGGGAAATGAAGACGAAAGTCTCAGTCACAAGTCACGAACGTAAAAGGCTCTCCAGTGTGATGCACCCGTGAAATAATGTCAAGTGTAGATCGCATTCATTGAAATTTAAAGGAAAACAATTAATGCTCGTTTCTACGTATAATAAACCAATTCCTTCTTCACCCAAACCCATATAATAATTTCTATCCACCAAATTAGATCCAACAATTGTCTCTCTCCCCTTCTCTCTCTTCCACTCTCCAGCTTAATTATGAACCAAACTCATCCATTCATTCATAATCTTTCAAAAACTAAAATTTCAAGAAAAATCGTATAAAAATTGAAGCTTGAATTTTGGAAAAGTGAATAAAAGCTTAATCAGAGATACACGAACTCTCTCTGTAAACCAGAAAGCAGAAAGCAAAACGGAGAAACTAGAAAGCAGAAATGCTTCTTCTTCCTCCCAAAAGACGGAAAAACCGAAGCTTTTTGGTTGCTCTCCGAAACATCGAGTTTCAATTCAATGCATCACAGACTCGGACACGGTCACACTCTCTTTTTTTACCCCCTTCTCACGTCACTGCACCATCGACGGTTTATACACTCTCTAAGTGTGTGGTCCTCCTCACAGCCGTTAGATCACTCGCCACCCGAAGCTGCATCAGAAGGAGACAAAGCTTATCCAGCGTGGCATCCACATCGGACAAACCCCACCCCACCTGCTCTCACTCACTCACGATGATCTGTCCTGTCCTGCTTAAACCTCCGCCACGATGGCTTTCTCTTTCCGTCTCTGGACTAGACTTTTGTGGGCCTTCTTCCTTCACCTCTGGGCTCCAAATCCAATCCGAATCCAAAAGTAACCGAAATCTGATTTCTGATTTCTTCAACATCCAACGGTTATTACAATACCTCGTGGCAACATCACAACTTGTCCGTCCGTACGAAAAAGATTAAGATTGTGCTCTTTCTTTCTTTCTTTCTCAAAATCTGCAGTAAATCATGATTTTATTCTGTACCGCCCCATTCCTACCCTTCCCCACAACCACAAATTCTCGTTTATTTCTCACCCAACAACATGTACAGTAGTACTGTACAAGTACGTATTGTCTACGTTACTTTCACCGGTACACGCATTATACATCCATGCCTAAATGGGCTGTGGAGGAAAAACGATGTTTACACGCAGAGACAGACAAGCAGCTGCTGCTATGCGTGCGAGTAGGGAGGGTGTTGTATACACGCCTCTAAGGGAGCGTGGTGGAGGTTGGGGGAGTTAGTTTGTGCAAAATTTGTGTCTCTCTCTGAGTCTCTGACTGGGTGGCACTAAAATCTGCGACGTGCAAGTGCAAGAAGTTCTCTTCTCTTGTAGACAAAAGTTACTTTTCGAGTCACGAGGAAGGGAACGGAGGGAGGGAGCGAGGAGTAGGAACTCGGCGATTAATTGGGAGGGATCCTAATTCCTTCCTTCCTTCCTAGAACAATTTGATTCTCTGGAAGTTCGAGTGGCAGCGAGAGAAGAGACTCACGTTTGTTGCGTGACTGACTCGTTGTTATTTCCAGTGAAATTACCAAAACAGGCCGGATGACTTCAGTACTATGAAAAAGACAATTAAGCCCCCGGGAGTCCATGCGCCAAAGAGTGAAACGGTGTCATTTCAATTTTCATGGTTGACAGAACTAACTGAGTTTTCAGTCATGCCTTACATGTCGTGTGCGCATTAACACGAAAATATAGAGAGACTTGCTGCACTGGTAAATATGTTGGATCTCTTGCCCTTCCAATGCAAATACAAATATGTACTAAACCGGATTTTGGGCCTTACAATCTCTTCTTGAAACACACAGCCCAACTCGGTATCCTAGGAATGGGCCCGTAGGCCTTGCATTAATAAAGCCCAACACTGTTACTGGACTTTTCATAACTCAGATAAATAAATTTACTAAAATAAAATAAAATATACTTCTTGTTGATCCACTAGAATTAGGCTTATATTATTTTATAAATCACCATGATCCAAAACATAAACATACATCAAGAACAAGAAATGTGTGTTGCTTGCTGCCCCCTGTGGGTGTCTTAAGATTTAATTAAGGGCATTTGCGTAGGCCCCTGTGGGTGGTCATATTGGCGTAACAAGGGCAGGTTTCATAGTGACCAGAAGTACCTGGTGGAACGCAATTGCATCTCTCGCAGCACGTCCCGCATGCCCTCTTGCACAAATTCGGCCTTGACGATAATTCGCACCTTCGATTACATTCTCCATCACACTCTTTATGTAACACCATACAATATTAGTATCGTAATTCTTTTTTATATATAATTAAGTTGAGTTTTGTTAGTCTGAATCTCATACCTATTTTGGGAGGAGGATGAGGGCTTTCAACAGGAGGTGTAGTCACCTGAAAACACGTTACGCTGCTAGTCATCAAAAGCAACTTCAAATAAATACATAAATAACTTAATTGGATTAAAGTGGTTTACCGTTTCTTGAGAATCAGCGAGTTGGAGAATGAGAAGAGAAACGAGAATTACAACCTTCAACATCATCTTCTTGGCCATGGAAGAGGAGAGTGTATGTAAGTAATCTTTGGGCTGGGTTGGGTTGGGGCTAAGAGAGAGAGTTGGTGGTGTTTAAAGAGAAAAATAGGTGTGGTATATATAGCCAAGCTCATGAGGAGGTCATTAATTATGAAACCTCATGAGTACGAGTGACACACACCAGACCAGAATGACAAAGGTGCTCCAACAAGGATATGACTCTGAGAACAACTACATTCAACAATTTTTGGAAATTTACATACTTTTGGTAATAGTCTCAAACATTTTTAATAGTTATTCTTTAAATTTAAATAGCATTTAGCTAGCAAGGACATGGCTGGCTGGAGCCTGGAACCATATCTCTTCACTTGTATGTTGTATGCCATGCTGGTTTGCTGATGTTATTTCTTTTAAATACAAGCGATAGTCTAAATTATAACAATGAGGGGGGTTTTATCACACACACTACGTACTAAAATGTCATGGAAGTTCAAAACCTCAAATTACAAGTCTGCAAGTCAAGACCCTTTTCTTATGTCCTTAGACTCTATTTGTTTTGGTCTCAAATAATTTATCAACACACGTGTCCACTATCCATGCATGCATATGAGTCATGACTACTACTAGGCCCTGTTTGGTTCATGGGAAAGGAGGCTTGAGGATGGGAAATCAATTGTTTTCCCATGTTTGATAAGTCCAAACATGAGAAATGGTTGTCTGGCACATAAATAAGTAGGGGGGGGGGATATAAAGCCCTCCTCTCACCTTGGGTTTTTTGTTTTCCCTTCTCATGGGAAAGTCTGGGAAAATGAGCCAACATTCAATGCACATTTTTCATGATTATTTTTGTCTCCTTGAATAATTTAGAATTACAATATATCATTACATGAATTCTTTTTTTATTTGATTTAATATGGGTATAATTGGAAAATTATACTAATTTTGTTTTCCATTCATATTCAAAACAAACATGGGAAATAAAACAAAGTGAAATCTCCCGGTTACATTCCCGACATTACTAAACGTGGGAAAGAAATATTTCATTTATCATCTCTTGGGAAATGACATGAAAAGTAATTTCCCCTTAAATCCGTTCCGTAAACCAAACGGGACCTAGGGTGTTATAACCGACAGACTAGATAAACTGAAGCGGTAATCTGGCTGGAATGCAAGCATTAATTGTATATTTGTATCATGAGTGACTGAAATGAAAGTTATGTGCGTTGCATCATCTACCTCCGGTTCAGACGTTTCTAATTTGTGATTCATTCGAATTGGATTTGGGTTTGGCATTGGCAGTATCACTTATAACTTTTAGGAAAGGCCTCAGCCTGGATAACAAAATGGGCTATGTTTATGTTGGGCTTCTCCCTCTCATCAATTTCTATGATAATTGCAAACACAAAAGCCCATGCTTTTCTGTAAGTGGCGGTGGGGTCCCAATCACTTTCAACTTCGACGTCATGAATGTGTCCCAGGAGTCTATGACCCATTTATTAAGGCAAGAAGAGGAGAAGAAACGACAGAGACAGGTAAAATCAACAACAGTCAAAATATGATGATATCATCTTTTCTCTCTCTTTTCCTGGCCCATAGATTAAAAGAGAACTCCAAAACAAAATATTTTCATTGAAGCCAAAACAAAAGAGGAAGAAAAAAGACACTCCAAACCAAACTCGCAATAAACAAATTTACAATAAGTCTATTTTCGTGTAGTTTTAATCATACAAACCAAGTGACATTCTTTATTTTATTTAATTAAAAACACAACTTTATTTATTTATCTGAGTTCTGAACTGAACACCACCGGCAGATGAAGGTTGGTTGAAGTTTGAAGTTGGAATTCAAGGACACTTGCGTTTGCCGCCGTGGGTGGTGAGGGCGGCGTAGCAGGGGCAGACCTCCAGATTCCCGGCAGTACCCGGAGGAACACAGCTGCAGCGTTGGCAGCAAGTCCCGCATGCCCTCTTGCACAGCCTAGGCCTTGACGACAAACGACATCGAGCAGCGCACGCTCCACCACAGTCTATATGTTACATAATATTATTCATATTAAAATTGCCCTCAATCGTATAATATAAAACAGACAAATATAATGTAATTAATATGTACCTAATTTATCAAGGAGAGAACTCTGTGCTGCATTTTTGTTTGCCTGCAATTGCAAATATAAAAATCAACTTAGCTACATATATAAATATACATATATATATTGTATCAAAATGAAAGAATCCTTACCGTCTCATCAGCTTCAACAGGATTGAAAACAACAAGGCAAACGACGAGTACTGAAACAAGAATCACAGCCCTGGAGGAGATTGAGATTGAGATGGCCATGGCTTCTAATTAAAGATATTTAATTTCTTGCTTCCTTCAAACCTAATTGAGAAAACCTTGATTAATACAGATATCTATCTAGTAAGTTAACTTAAGTTGTGCGTAAGAATGAGATGCATGGCATCTCCTATTTATAGCCCAATAGTTTGCCAGCTGGCCGTGGAACTGTGAGGGTGATAGAGAAGGTGAGTAGGTGCATGCCAGGACGGGACATTCTCGTGGTATGTGGTATATGTTATTAAAATTTATAAACAAATGCATGCAATGCAACAAAAATAGATGTAAAGCTTGAGGAATCGTTTGAAATGAGTAAAGCTATCTTCTTTTTCTTTTTTTCTATTGCCTTTTGTGTTGTGGGGATTATCTTTCCAAGTGGCGTTAGTCTTTAGCCTTTAGCTACCTCATTCATTTGTTTTCATCTTCTCTTCTTTTCTAGATAAACTCATATAGGCTAGCTATAGTGAGGCTATTTTTTTGTTTTTTTCGGAACTAGTGTTCATTAGAAACCCACCGTAAGAAAAGAGGGCACAAATACACATCATAGAAGTGAGACTCAACAAACTAAGTCCAGCGTCAACGCAACAAGACCTAGCCCAAATAATAGCTAGTGAGTCTATTAGAAGATTTATAGAGTAGTGTTTAATTTGACTATGCTCAAGCTGCTCTCAAACTATTATATGAAAACAACTTGCTACGTAGTTTGATACTTATCAAAACATTGACAAGCAAAAGCAATCAATTCTTCCATTTCTAACTTTCATTTCTAAGTTAACCAAGTCTTGAGTAAACGAATATCCATTAGAATAGTACTCATTCCAAACACAAGAGAAAAAAACACAAAAACCTTGGGTGGACAGCTAGCTAGCTACAGTGCTTGCTTTACAGATCAAGTGGCTGCGATTAATTGTGGAGGTTAAAATAAACCGATGGCCTTTTCTTTTGCTTTGGGTCGGCCAGAAAACTGAGACACATCTTTCAAAATCAAATACCAAAAACCTTAATTAAGCTTCAATTCCATTAGCCATTTATGCTATAAGGGTCAAATGCACGTTTCTTTGTCATAAACTAATATGTTTGTTATCTTAATAGTATGATATGGCTGGATCCTGGATGGATTTCCCCAAGCCACCCAACTCTGTGGGACTACCAAACGAGGGGAGGGAGGGCCTACTTAAACAAGTGGTTGTAATTAGTAGTGGATTATCGGCCGGTGGCTTTGGACCCAATCATTCGTCATCCTATATATATATATATATATATATATATGCTGTAAGTAGGGTTTGGTTCTCCAAGGAACCCCAGCTAGCTTCTTAATTAATTATTTATTCTTTATTTTTAACGACAGAAGCCAGCGATTGCAAGGAAGGAGAATTCGAACGCATGACCTTTGAGTGTAGGGTTATTAACTTGCACTACAAATCCCTTGCGGGTTATTAACTTGCACTACAAATCTCTTGCAGCTAGCTTAACTTGTTAATTAGGAGAGGAGGACTGTGTGATTGCATCGTATTTGCTAAGCAGCAAACCAAAGCCCCGCACGTGCATAGCTTACCCTACTGCCTACACGTGCACTTGGAGAAAAAGAAAAAGAAAGAAAAAGAGGGTGGGCGGTAGAAGCTTATCTATCTATGAAATGAATGAGATGAGACACAGCAGCGGGAAACGGGAGACGGAGAGCCAACTAATAATAAGGGTAAGTAAGAGTGGGTACTTTTCAACAACTGTAGGCAACACAGCTGTAGTCTGCTCATACTTACAAACGCCAAAATGAACGACGATTTGATTAGATTGGGATTTGGCAATTTGGCACTAGGAGCCTATGTACGACTAGTGTTTGTCACTCACCTAATTTTGGTCGACGTTGGCTTAGATTAGAACCAATTGGGAAGAAGATGCTAAAATATGAATATGGGTTTGAATATGTTAGGTTTTTTTTTTTATTCTTCTCCATAAGGAGGTATATATAAGAGTTTACATGAGTGCTTTACAAGGAATTAGATCCAGTAAAGGATTAGGAAAGTATCTCCTAATTATACAATGATTTGACAACTATATAAAATAGGAAAGTAAATCCCTTAATTAACCAAAGGAAATAAATCTATAAAATAGGAAAGTAAATCCCCTAATTAATCAAGGAAATAAATCTCCTTGATTAATTAGGAGACTCACTTCAACACTCCTCCTTAAGTTGGTGCATATACGTCACAAATGCCCAACTTGGTAAGTGAGTCAAGAAATTCGTAGCACCCAAGTCGATAATCCATGCAATTCAAGCAGAGTCTTTGGCGACCGGTCGTTTGCTTCGGGCGACCATGCTAAAATATGAATATGGATTTGAATATGTTAGGTTCTTTTTTTTATTCTTCTCCATAAGGAGGTATATATAAGAGTTTACATGAGTGCTTTACAAGGAATTAGATCCAGTAAAGGATTAGGAAAGTATCTCCTAATTATACAATGATTTGACAACTATATAAAATAGGAAAGTAAATCCCTTAATTAACCAAAGGAAATAAATCTATAAAATAGGAAAGTAAATCCCCTAATTAATCAAGGAAATAAATCTCCTTGATTAATTAGGAGACTCACTTCAACACTCCTCCTTAAGTTGGTGCATATACGTCACAAATGCCCAACTTGGTAAGTGAGTCAATAAATTCGTAGCACCCAAGTCGATAATCCATGCAATTCAAGCAGAGTCTTTGGCGACCGGTCGTTTGCTTCAGGCGACCATGCTAAAATATGAATATGGATTTGAATATGTTAGGTTCTTTTTTTTATTCTTCTCCATAATGAGGTATATATAAGAGTTTACATGAGTGCTTTACAAGGAATTAGATCCAGTAAAGGATTAGGAAAGTATCTCCTAATTATACAATGATTTGACAACTATATAAAATAGGAAAGTAAATCCCCTAATTAATCAAGGAAATAAATCTCCTTGATTAATTAGGAGACTCACTTCAACAGAAGACGCGCCAAATATAATTATTTGATTGATGAGTTTTGGATAATTGACAAGCCTTCGTTTTTGGGGTTTTGATCAGTAAACTTATGACAGTCTTTAACTAAGAGCATCTCCAACCGATGTGTCAAAAGTGCCACATAGACATTCAACGGCTAGAAATAACATCTCACATGACTCCAACCGATGTGCCAAAGCTTATGTGGAATGAAGGCTGGAGGTTGAGATGTTATTTTTGACATCCCAAAAGCAAGATGTCAAATGAATATTTTATTATTTTTTCTTTTCTTTGCTTTTTAATTAAAAATAAATCAACACTAAAATGTAATAAAATAATAATTTAATTTGACATTTCGGGTAGAGTGTAAAGCTGTGTAAGATGTCAAATTGCCACATCAGCCATCAAATTTAAATTTGATGTTTGGTATTTGACATCTCCCTTGGAGATGCTCTAAGAAAGCAAATAATGGAGCAGTTGATTTGGTTTCGACGTCTATAGTGTCATCCAATCATTTCGCAAGCGTCTCTAAATCCTTCTTTTCATTTATTGGTTTAAATAATTGCAAGGGGGCTTTTAGACTTAACATAAAATAAGTAAGGCAGGCAACTTTTGAAATGCTGAGTAGTAGTGGGGAGCATTTTTGCTCACCACTTTGACCATAGGTGTTCCCTCACCACCATCCTCAATGCTTGACACGTGTCCATAAGTATAATCATGATTCCATAAATACAAAGCAAAAGTTAATTATGGTTATATCTATGGACACGTGTCAAGTATTGATGATGATTGTGAAGGTACACCTATAATTAAAGTGATGAGCAAAAATACACCCGTAGTAGTGTCCTGTCCCTCTCTGCCCGCATCCAGGAGGACTTGGACTAGGAAGGACCATGAGAGAGAGAGAAGATATTTTCTTGTTTGGTTTTTTCCTTTTTTGGCTTTTTGTTAACACCAATGCTAAAAAGAGAGTGAGGATATTATTTGGTCGACAAAATATCCTCCTCACTCTCTTTTTAGTATTGGTTTTGAACAAAAAGCCAAAAAAGGAAAAAACCAAGCAAGAAAATAGTGAGGATATATATATACTAGATATGGTTGGGTTGTGAGATTGGTTTGGTTTTGGTATGAATCAGAAGGAGGAGAACGAGTAGTGAGATGTAGTCCATGTAAAGTGCGGTGCAGCTGTACACAGTAGACGCCCAAGAGTTAAGAGACACAGAGACATGCCACGTCATTCTGTGATTGTCCTCTTCCTCCTGCTCCTCCTCCTGCTCCTCCTACTGTATGCTGTTGCTGTCTGCACCTGTAGTTTTCAATTTCACGAGCAGCCTGTGGTTTGTAATATTTCATGGGACAGAAAGTTGAGAGCAAAAGTAGCATCTCACGAGTCCCCTTCCATCCCCAAACAACACGGAGTGCCCTTGGCAACCGACAGCTCACTGTAGGGCTTTCTGCTGCCTGCCTGCTTGGGTTGCCCCAAAGGAAAAATAAATATAAAAACTAGAATCCGACTGATGACTTACTAAAACCACTTGCAAACATGGGTTATGTCATTTGATTATGAAAGTGCCAATGCCCCGTAACTCCTTAGACTATCGTTTGTATTAAAAATTCAGAAGGCACAAACAAAATAATGAAGATAGCATTTGGCAAGCCAAGCTAAGAAGAGACTTTTATATACATCAAGCATCCACAGCTTAATTTAGAGAGCTCGCTCTACAATTGTGCATTCACAGCATATACATCGAATAATATACAGATTTGCCTATGTCAAAGTCACAATATATTATACACACACCGATTACCAGAAGAAAGTTAACGAATACACACAACATGTACAAGTAAATATATAAACGTACAAGTTCCCTGCCCGATCCACTAAACCCTTCTGTCTGCGCTTTGGCACGACCAAGATGGGCTTGAGGGATCAGCAACACAGATCTGAACTCGTAAGACTTCATGAATAGCACCTCGATAAAGCACCGCAAGAACCTCCTCTTGTTTGGCCAAACCAACATCTATCAGAGTGAACCGACGAGAAAGTAATTCATCCCGCATTCGGAAGCCGTGAGACCATCTCCCAAGCTTCCACCATTTAACACAAACTTGCCGCTCTGATATCTTCCTACTCTCGAGTGCTTTCAGGACACAGTTGGCCTGCCAATTTTGTATTTAAACTAGTATAAGTATCTAAAACCAAATTAGTAGCAGATATGGGACTGTTATCTATTTGCCATACGGCTACCTAAACGTTATGCCAGCAATGGAATACATATATATGATCCCCGACCAGTAACATTGCCGCACTATTATACATGAAAAACAAAACAAACACAGAATTTCTAGCTTCCAAATGTTCTCTGTACTATGGCTTTCAACGGAAGGTTTAAAGATTAAATTCTCGCTGTTTTCTTCGACAGAAACTAAGAACCATAAATATCTCAATACGTTCAGGGTATTGGATTGTATAATAAGGCTAAGGGAAATCAATAACTCAATGCAACTGCAGTTCAGTCAAACATGGAAATACACAAAAAACTCGTTGAAAGGAAAAGAGAGAGAGAATTACAGAATGAATTGTATCAATAGAAGTAATTTTGAACTGACCTCAAAAGATTCCCTTATAGTTTATACACAGCTACACAAGCTAAGATAGCTGTGTTTGTAACCGCTAACTGTCATTTTTCTTTTTCTGTAACAACCTTAACAGTCTCAATGACATTCAGACTGGTATTTGATTATACTACCCTTTGTTCTTCAGATTACAACAATATAACCCTTTTCAAATGTAGCACATGCTATAGCACATTTTGTAAGTTTAGCCTTGTTTGAACAAACAGATGGTCTAAATTGTTGGCTAACAGAGTGAGAGAAGGCAGTGCAGTTCCTCTAAGGCTATAACAGAGTACTCAATATATGGCCAACAACAGAGTATTGATGCAATTCGCAGAAAAATAAACAACTTTGAAGCATAGATTCCTACAGAAAGTTGATCAGTAGACAGAGTGATAAAAGTATATACCGGCACTCCAAGCCAATTCATGCAGTAGTGCAAACCAAGTAGGTTAACCAGCACAGTAAGCTCTGGTTTGAAAAGAAACATTTGTACATCCTGATATCCAAATTGCAGTGCGTGCAAATCTTGCATTGCCTTCTGATACTCCCCACCCTCAAGGGATACAGATGATGAGCATGTTTCCACAAACTGAACCACCGAGGTAGCACGAGCAGCCTTCTCATTGTGCAACTCCATGTAAAAGCACCTCCATCCCTATACCATTATTAATTTCCACAAAAGAATATAACAACATAAATTGACTAACCAATAACTAAAGCAAACATGTTGTTAGTTGATACTCATAAAACTACAAATAAACATGATGGAAAAATGAAAACCTATCGTCTTCCTTTCTACGAAATCATTGGATTTATCATTAGGGATGGCACCACAAGATCAAAATTTTAAGTAATTAAATAATCTGTTTGATTGATTGAGAAATTAAACAAAATTCTAGTATAACAATTGAACATATTAGAAATAGGAAACTAAACGGTGAACAAGAACTGAGTTATCAAAAGCTAAAGGGATTAAAAAAAAAATTTGTAAACAGAGGGAGAGTACCATGGACAAGGGTTTTTTGATTGCAGAGGAAGAAGAAGGCCCATCGGACAATTCAAGAGAAGGCCATCTGTCTCGAACCAGAGACTCCCATATGCAATCCGACCCACACAGCTCCCTCCATAACCGGGAACAACTGGCCAACGAACAAAGGTCCGGCACCTTCGTTTCCAAAATTAAAATTGAATAAATACATAATATCAATATTCGTAGGTTGAAGAAATAATGATCGGAAATAATATGAAATGATCAAGCACCTTCAGCTCACCTGCAGGAACGAAGCAATTTGGAGGGCAATATCCTCCGGAACTGGGAGAGGGCTCATTTTGCTTTGCTTGCGACTTTGAAATGAGAATGCATTTGACTTCAGAGTTCGGGGACTTTCCGCCTTTTCCTCTTTCCACCTCGTTGTCATTGGAGTAACCTTCAAGAAACGACGCGTAAACTCGCGTTTCAGAAACCAAAACGACACGATTTAGGCATACCGAATTCTACTCGACGAGATGAATTTGTGCCCCAGCAGTAAGACGACGTTCTGGGCTTCCTTCTCGGGCACGAAACGACATGAGAGAATCTATGATATGTAGTTTGAAGATAAATGAAGGAAAAAGTTCATTTTTTACGATTAGCTGGGTGGGAAGAAGGATGCAGAGAAGAAATGAGAGAGAAATGAAAGAAGATGAGAGAATATATAAAAGGTAAACCGAAAAACAGGATTGTGGGTTTACCTTATTCTTTGCCTAAAAATAATTGTAACTTTTATTTGAGCTTCTAAATTTTCTTACAAAAATTGAAAGATGAAAAATAGAGATAAATAAATAAATTTGAAAGATGATAAACCAAAGCAGTCTTTTTTCTTTCTAACGCTCGACATCAACAAAACGAAGGAGGCCTACAATCATAATACTCTACATCAAAACATATCAATATCTTTTTACAAGATTATCTGTCTTTTTTTGGTTCTGAGCTCATTAGGGAATACCCATTGGGCTCAAAAGTCTTGAGTTCTCCATTTTTTTTTTAAAGCAGAAAATAATGGTTTTACCTTTTTCTTTGCCTGAAAACAATGGTTTTACTTCAACTTCTAAATTTGCTTTACAAAATTGAAAACTTACAAATAGAGGATGCCGGCAACAAGGCAACAAGGCCTTGAGACCGGAGGCCAACGTTCTTCATAGACGTTAAAGATTAATGTGATGTTCAGAACCTTTTGGTCCGACCGTAATTCTCACAAAACCAATGTGATAAACCAGTCTTTTTCTACGTACGGCTAACATTATATACAATCTCAGGAGGCCTACAATCACAACAAAGAGGGCAACAGTGAGATTGAGAGCATGCATGATACATGTACAGATTCGCCGCAGGAAATACATGTCTACACATATATATCATGTACATCAAAATATATCAATATCATTCACAAGTTTATATTAACGAACATTTTCTAGAAAACTTCATGGATCTGCTATGGTGATCTTGACACGTGCTATGCGCCAATCACTGGCGCCTTCATGAATCAACCTTAGAACCTCCTCTCCTTTGTACATTGCAAGGTCTTCCAAAGACAGGTAATGAAAATGTGACTCATCCGGTATGTAGAAGTTTTGATATGGGTATGGACTGCTATGGCCAAGCTCAAACCATTCAACACAAACTCGACGCTCTGATATCTTGCTCCTGTAAAGTGCTTCCAAGACACATATGGCCTGCCAATTATATACTTAAAGGTATCTAAGTCCACAATGTTATAATTTGACATTTCTGATTTTTTTTAATTTCCAAAATGCAGATCTAAAGGTTGAGCCAGCCGCACAATACAAACAGTATGCCTTCTCAGGGATAGGGGCACAAGGTAATACATGAAATGAAACAAACATAGAACTCTTAGCTTTCAAATCTTTGGACAAACATGTTACCGGGTGGTTTCTGCACTCTGGCTTCCAGAGGAAGGTTGAAGTTTAAATTCCGAATGAGAAACTAAAAATTGTATACGTGCAGGTTTGCAGAATGTGCAAGGGTAAGGGAAATCAAGAACTCCAAACACAGAAAAAGAAGAAGCAGAAAACATGATGTAAGGAACAGAGGAGAGCACATTGTATCATCCAAAGTGCATTTTTGTTTCTGAACTTGAGACGTTTCCTTTATACACAGCCAGATAAGCCAATCTAAATGAGACTGCTAACTATTGTATCCATTTGCTAACAACCTTAACAGAATTCTAACATAATAACATATACACTGGTATTTTCTATGGTAGATGATATCTTCAGAATCGATTGACCGATTTTCCATTAATTTCCATTTTCGTAAATTCGAGAAATGAAGCACATTTCGCAAGTTAAATCAAGTTTGAGCAAACAAAGTGAGACAATCTGTCATTCTGAAAAGATTGAAGTTCCTATAAAGCTATGACAAAGCATACATACCATTCGAAGAAAAATAAGCAATTTGAAACATAGATTCGCAAACCAAGTAATCAGTAGAGAGAGTGTTAAGAAGAGTATATACCGGCACTCCAAGACAATCCATGCAGTAGTGCAAACCAATCATGTTAAGCAGCACAGTATGCTCAGGTTTGAAAAGAAACATTTCTACATCCTCAAGTCCAAAACGCATGGCATGCAATAATTCAATTGCTCCCAGATACTCATCAACCTCAAGGGATTCAGATGACCGGCATTGTTTCACAAACTGAACCACTGACGTAGCTTCAGCTGCCATCTTATGGTGCACCTCGATGTAAAAGGGCCGCCACCCCTGCACCATGATGAATTTCTAGATGAGAATATAACAACATACTTGACCTCCATCCATGTAATAGAACACGTTAGCAAAAATATAAACCTACAAACATAGAGGGATAAAAGAAATCTATCGTTTTCCTTTCAAGTAATTAAAATTTAAATCACTTGATTGATTGGTTGGTAAATTAACATATGAAGTATTGGGTGTTGGTCCTCACCAAAAAAGGACGTTGAAACTGATACAAAAATCTGGTATAATAAATTGAGCATATTAGAAATAGGAAAGTGAACACTTAACAAAAGGGGGGGGGTGGGGAAGTGCCATGGACATGGTTTTTTTTTATCGCAGTGGAAGAAGGAGACCCATCGGAAAATTCCAGAGGAGGCCATCTGTCTCGTACCAGAGGCTCCCATATGCAATCCGACCCACATATCTCCCTCCAAAACCGAGAACAACTGGCCAACGCACACAGATCCGGCACCTACGTTTCATAAATAAAATGAATAAATAAATATCCTACATGTTGATGTTGAAGAAGCAATGATCGGAAGTAAAATGAAATCATCAAGGAGCTTCACCTCACCTGCAGTAATGAAGCAATTTTGAGGGCAACATCATCCGGGACTGAGAGTGGGAGTGAGAGAGACCTCATTTTATCTCCTCCTAGCGCATGTTATGTTATGGTGGGCAAGCAGCGATGCAATTTATTCAGTCTATCAGCAAGAATTCTATGAGGGCCTTATGGCTCATATCTCTTTAAGGTTGGATCAAATTGATTAGTTGTTGGATTAAATTAGTTAGTTTTATATGACAATTGAGAGATATGACATCACCAAAAAGCCATATACAAGGCCCTCACTAGACCTGACAATATTGTACACGACCCATGAACACGACACGAATTTGCACGAAAATTCAGTATTCGAGTCTGAGTTATCGTGTCGTGTTGATATCATGTTGACCCGTTAGCCACACGTTAATCTAACGGGGTCGTGTCGTGTAAATTCACGAATACCCGTTAACTTGTTAAGCTCATGGGCATTTTTGTAAATTTATATATTTCTTCTTATTTTTCTATTTCTTTTTTCTCCTTCTCTTTATTCTCTTTCTTCTCTTCCTCCCCTATTCACCTGACTCTCCCACTGTCTTTCTCTTTGTAAGTTTATTTTCTTTTCATTATTTTTCTCAGAAACCAAACATAGCTTTCTTTTATGTTCTTCTCTCTCTCTCTCTCTCTCATTGGTTGTGTTTTAATTCTTGACAGGTGAAATGGATCGTGTCGTGTGATTCGCGAATTGTAATGGGTCGTGTTTGTGTTTGACATTTTCCACCCGTTTTTTTATTGTGTCGTGTCGTGTTGACCCATTAAAAAAGACGGATTGACACGAACACGATACGAACATTGCAAACATGACACGAATACCAAGTCTATGCCTCACTCTAGAATGACTCGTCTATCGGTCTCTTTTTTTCTTCTTTCATTTTTCTTGTCTGATTACCATTGGGCTCAAAGCCTAGTCCAATGTGATTGTACAACAAGATAAATATGGGCCATTACTCGACAAAATAGTATCTTTTTCTTTTCCTTTATTTTCTAAAATTTGAAAATATATAAGACATTTTTCATAGGTTATTGCTTGCCTCCATTCTCCAAAATATATACGACAATTCCTACTTACAAGAAGAGAAGTATTTTTCCTTTCGTATTAGCCAATTGGTGTGAGTAGCCTAGGCAACATTAATATTAGAGTTATTCGCAGAAATGGTCCCTCAACTATACCTGTAGTTACACTTTGGTCCCTTAATTCAATTATTAGTTGTAGGGGTCACTCAACTAGGTGTTATGTTGCACCAGTAGTCCTTCCGTCAAGTCTGTGACTTTTTCCGTTTAAAATAATGACGTGGCAAGCATCTTAGAGCACGAGTGATGGGCAAATGTGACTTTTTGCTTAATTAAAACGAATCTGTTGCTTTTGAAGAGAACGATAATTACACAGAAATGGCAGTCTGAGCAAAAGGGGAAAATCGCGAAGGTAGAGAATCTAGGGTTTTCAAATCGAGAGGTATTTGACTTCGATTTTTGGGGGATTGTGGAACATTATGGTTTAATGGACTAAGTAGCGAAGGATTTAGAGTTAAAAAAGCGATAAAGTACAAATCTAGGATTTCAGTTTCATGAAAATCACAGAGAAAAGAGTCGGGTCTACTGTGTGTGGAGGCTTCTTCAAATGGAGACAATTTTTCGGTGGTCTGGAGAACCCCCCAAGTATGGTAGGTTACTATAACCTAAATATTCCTTCTTCATTTTATATTGGTTTATATTTCTGTTTGCAAATGTGTGGTCCTCCTGTTGACAATGAAGTTTTGGCTTTAAGGTTGAAAAAAATGTAAGTTGGAGTCTTTATTATTGTCTGTGGCCCCATTTTTGTCGGTTTGTCATGGAAGTGATTTCACACTTGCACATGCTTGCACTTACTTTGTCTTCATTGTCATAAAAAAAAATGTAAGCATACCTTTGTGTAATGTGGTAGATAAAGCAGAGCTATGTACTCTTGAACTCCACCATTTTGGTCTATTGGATAATGGCATGTATAAGGGAGGCAAATTATGCTATGTTGACAACTGTATTCATGACTATATGTCATTATTGAATTTAAAGAAAATTGGGATAGATCTTGGGTACAAAGTTGATATAACACAAAGGGTTACAAATTTAAAAGTTTACTATAAGGGGCCTGCAAAAAGTGGTAAGCATGCTGTGAATGATGTTGTAAATGATAGTTGTATTCCAGGGTTGGTTGGGAGCATTTCATCAGATCAGGTTTTGGTGTTGTATTACCATGATCCTACTCATAACAACAAGGTAGAGAGTCTAGATGAAAAGCAAGAAGAACATAGTGAAACTGAAATTGGCAATGAAGAGGAAGAGGAGGAAAAAGAGGATGTTATTGTTGACAGTGATTATGAAGTAAGTGAACAAGAAAATGGTAATCAAGAGGCTGCATATGTTCACGATGCACCAAATGTTGAATATGCACAATGTTTTGAAGAGATGAAGGAAATGCCTATTAATGAAGCTACATGGGAGATATCAGATGATGGTGAAGATAGTGATCGACTTCCTTCTGATGGCGATACCTCTGGTGGTGAGGAAGATGGTCAAAAAAAGACAAGCAAGAGGAAATGGAATATGCCAACTTTTAAACAGTTTAGGAAAGAAACTGATTTGAGAAATCCAGAATTTAGAATTGGAATGCAATTTGCCAATAAGGATGAACTAAAGGAAGCTATTAGGGAGTATGCAATTGTACAAGGGAGGAATGTTAAATTGGTGAGGAATGATAATAAAAGGATTCAAGCAAAGTGTGCAGGTCACACGAGATGCCCATTTATTCTGTTTGCTTCTAAGATAGATAGAGATGAGCATACATTTGCCATAAAGACTCTCTCCTTAGAGCACGAGTGTACTAGAGTGTACAAACTAAAATATACTAATTCAAGGTGGCTGTCAAATAGGTTTGCTGACAAGATTAGGAAAAATCCTGAGTGGGATGTAGGGGCATTCCAGTCTGAGGTATTGGAAAAGTAGCATATGAATGTTTCAAGGCATCAGATTTATAGAGCAAAGACCTTGTCCAAGGTGATCATAGAAGGAAGCTATGTGGAGCAATATACGAGGCTCTGGGACTATGCAGAAGAATTGAAGAAGGCTAACAAGGGCAGTACTGTGATTATAAAGAATAAGATGAAGGGTGATGTACCCGTGTTTCAAAGAATTTATGTATGTTTGGAAGCTTGTAAGAGGGGATTTTTGGCAGGATGTAGACCTCTCATTGGTATAGATGGATGCCATTTAAAGGGACCTTACACAGGGCAAGCTTTAACAGCCGTTGGTGTTGATGGGAATAATGGAATGTACCCAGTTGCTTATGTTGTTCTAGAGGTGGAATCAAAAAGTAGTTGGATTTGGTTCCTTGAACTTTTGATTGCAGACTTAAAAATTGAGAATGGGAAAGCGTTGGTGTTTATAAGTGACAAGCAAAAAGGTATAATACCTGCAATTGAGACATTGCTTCCAACAGCTGAGCACAGAATGTGTGTTAGGCATATCTACAGCAACTTCAGGACAGAGCATGCTGGACTTGCACTGAAAAACATTTTCTGGGCTGCGGCAAGAGCAACTACCATTCCCTGGTATGAAGCAGAAATGGAGAAGATGAAACAGCAAGATGAAGAGGCGTGGAAGTGGCTTATCAAAAGACCAGCCAAAAATTGGAGTAGATCTCATTTTGAGCCACATTCTAAGTGTGATCTGTTGTTGAACAACCTCTGTGAATCCTTTAACTCTTGCATTTTAGATTCAAGAGACAAGTCTATCTTAACATGTCTAGAAAGGATTAGAGTTTATATCATGTTAAGAATGGCTAATAGAAGGATTGCTTGTACAGTTTGGAGACATCTAGTTGGGCCTAGGATTTTCAAGATCATTGAGAAGAACAAGTTGGGAGCTAGTCAATGCATACCTATATTAGCAGGTGAGAGCAAATACCAAGTGAGCCATATGTATGGGGGAGAGTATGTAGTGGATCAAAAAGCCAAGACTTGTTCTTGTAGAAGATGAGATTTATGTGGGATCCCATGTTCTCATGCTATTTCTTGTATCTTTCAAAAGGAGGCCAATGTGTTTGACTATGCACATGACTGTTATAAGAAAGAAGCCTACCTGAGTTCATATGAACCTATGGTACATCCAATACAATCCATGGACCAGTGGCAGAGAACTAATTGGCCTCCAATTAAACCTCCTCCATATAAGAAGTAGCCTGGAAGACCCAAGAAATCAAGGAATAAAGAACCAGTTGAGGTCGAAGTACCTGCTCTAGTTCCTCCAAACCCTTTGCCCCCATTTTACAATCCACCACCTACTAAGTTGAGAGGGATTTATGTAAAGGTAAGATGCTCTGTTTGTGGCCAGGAGGTACATAATAAGACACGGCATGCCAACCAAGGGGCAGCACATGTATTTGTGTTATATTTTTTTTAATTTAATTTCCTTTTGTTATTATTTACTTTAATTAGTTTTTTGTTTTTGTTATTGTTTAGTTTATTTATTTTATGTTTTTTAGGCCCAGCCTAATCAGCCCAACCCAACTAGAGGCAGAGGGAGAGGTAGAGGTACTACTACAGGAAGAGGGAGAGGAAATGAGAGAGGACAAATACCAATTGGAACTGGAAATGGAGGAGGAAATGTAAATGACAACTCTGTCATACTACTTTGGTTGGTTAATATGGTTCAAATTTAATTCATGTACTTTGGTTAGTTAATATGGTTCCATTTTATTTTAGGTTGGAAATGGGACAACACAAATGCCTTCATCATAGCCACTCTCATCATCACAACCACTCTCTTATACTGGAGCTACATCATCATCATCATAGCCACTCTTTTATACTGGAGCTACATCATCATCATCACAACCACCCAACATTGCTGAGGTTGCATCACAACCATCAAAGTCTCCTGCCAAGAAGCTTAGACCATGGATGTGGTGAAGAAAACTAGGAGGTGTGTTTTTTGAACTAGATTGATGTGTTTTTTGAACTAGTTGGATGTGTTTTGTCAACATGTTAGTTATGAATGGTTTGTTGGATGTGGTTTTTGAGTCTTTGGGCTGGAACTTAGTGTGGATGTTTTGTATTTGGTACATTTTGGAACCTAAACTGGGTGTTTATGTTCATCTATCTTTATGCTTGTGTTTCACTTGGA